CAGTCAGTTTTACTACTTTCAGACATTGATACAACTGCTAGGCTATTTTTTTCAATAGACTGCTAAATTTTACTAATAACTGTTATAGTGTTTTCATATTCCTCCCGAAAGTTACTTGAGTTTCACTTTGTTTTTCTTTTATTTTGTTGTTAGATCGCTTAATGTAGATTGATATATTAATTTTACTTGAACGGAATAAGCTCTTTCACTCATTTTATTTTAGAGAGGTGTGGGACTTTAAAAGGCAATTTGGCTGTTCAGACTAGGCTATTTTTTGTTGTGGATTAATGCCTTGCAGTGCATACTCAGTTTTTCTTCCAGATTTTTAAAATTGTATTAAATGTACTGAACTTCTTCAATGATAAAATTCTAACTATTAGAAATAAAATCTACCAGCTCCTGCCCTCAGTTCACACTAATACAACATCAAGCAGAGAAATCTCAGAAACAGCTGAGAATCCTAACAATTATTTAGACAGCTTCTCTCTGATCACCCTTGATCAGCTGGCCACAATAATCTAATCTTCTTAACCCTCAACTTGTATCTTAGATCCCATTCCTACGAAGTTATTTAAAGAAATTCTACCCCTAATTAATATTACTTTACTGAATACAATCAATCTATCATTATCATCAGGATATGTACCACAGTCCTTTAAACTAGCTGTAATCAAACCCCATCTCAAAAACCCTGGACCTGGAGGTTTTAGCCAACGACAGACCAATATCCAACCTTCCCCTCCCTGTCTAAAATCCTTGAGAAGGTTGTAGCCAATCAGCTGTGTGAGTTTCTCCAGGAAAGTAATGTATATGAAGACCTTCAGTCAAGGTTTAGAGCTAATCATAACACGGAGGCAACCTTGGGAAAAGTCACTAATGATCTTCTAATAGCCTGAGATCAAGGGTTTGTGTCTGTCCTTGTCCGGTTAGATCTCAGTGCATCATTCAACACTATTGATCATCGGATTTTATTACAGAGACTAGAACAGTTAATTGGCTTTAAAGGACCGCCCTAAACTGGTTTAAATCCTATTTTTCAGATAGATTCCAATTTGTGCATCATCTGTGTTAACCACGGTGTTCCGCAGGGTTCTGTGCTCTGCCCAATTTTATTCGCATTATCTATGCCTCCACTAGGAAACATTATCAGGACACACTGTAAATTCCCACTGCTATGCGGATGAAACCCAGTTATACTTAAATAATAAATAATAACCAGAACAGTGTAATCAATTAACTAAACTTCAAGCACGTTTCAAGGACATAAAAATCTGGATAACCCACAATTTTCTCTATTAAACTCAGATAAAACAGAGATTCTAATACTTGGCCCTAAACACCTTAGAGATACATTATCTAATGATATAGCTGCGCTAGATGACATTGCCCTTGCTTCCAATGAAACAGTCAGGAATTTGGGAGTCATCTTTGATCACAATTTGTCCTTTGATTCTCACTTAAAACAAATTTCTAGGACCGCCTTCTTTCGCTTATGTAATATCTCAAAAATGTCCTGTCTCAAAAAGAAGCAGAAAAACTAGTGCACGCCTTTGTCACATCCAGACTAGATTATTGTAATTCCTTATTATCAGGCTCCAGCAGTAAGTTGTAAATTTCTCCTGTATTAGCTTCACTACACTGGCTTCCAGTTAAATGGAGAATATAATTTTAAATTCTCCTCCTCACCTACAAGGCCCTTAATAATATGGCACCATCATACCTTAAAGAGCTCACAGTACCATACTTTATGATAAAGCTTATATCATTAAGCTATCATTTAAGCTATTTTAAAGCAAATTCACAGGCTCATTCTTATGCTAGTACGCAAGCTGCAGATCTTCACCCTCCTCAGTTTCAAACAAGTCAAGCTCAATTCCCCATACGTTATAGGGGTGCTTAACTATGGAATAACTTTTCATCTGGCATTGAAATGTTATACTATTAAACATTTTTAAAAAAAAGTTTAAAAGCTCATTTAATTGCTGGTTTATAGCTGGTTCTCTATAGTACTTTTGTCTTAGTTTGCTTACATGCTCATTCTTTGAATTTTTATTATTTAATATTTCTTTTATTACTTAAATGTGCACTATTTTAAATGGGTTATTTGATGTTTTTTGTTTGTTTGTTTGTTTAAATTTAATCCTGTGGTTTATTTAAAAAATTTTAGGTGGAGGCTTTATATAAGCCTGTTTGGGCTTTCTGCCTCTCCCTGCACTGATCTTTTTGGTCATTTCTTTGTATTTATATCTTTTATAAAGTGCTAAATAAATAAATAAGTAAATAATAGTTAGAGTTGGTCCAGGCTTGTCCTCGACCTGCTCTTAGTTATGCTGCCATAGGTCTAGCATGTCGAGGGACACACATTCTCCATTACATGTGGCATCTATCCACTTTTGTCCGTCCTGGGAGAGCAATCCCTCACATGTGGCTCTCTCTGAGGTTTCTATGTTCTTTTTTTTCATAGTTTTTCCTTACTCTTGTTAAGGGCAGAGGATGTCACACCTTGTTAAAGCTCTTTGAGACAAATTTTTATTTGTGAATATGGGCTATACAAATAACATTTGATTGATTGTTGATATTGCTTGTCATGCGTCTTTTTCCTTCTATAGTATTGATAATTGTAAAAATCATGATATCTCTTCTGTCACCTTTTGTTGCAGAAATTTACAAAGATGCCTGAGGTTCGGGATCTTTCTGAAGCTTTGCCAGAGATGCCAATGGATCCAATCACAGGGGTTGGAGTAGTGGCCTCCAGGAACAGGGCACCCACAGGATATGATGTGGTATGTCACGGAATGCAACTCAGCACAGTTGGACACCTGAATACCAAATAACCATGCAAAAATAATTCACCCTTTTTACTTAATAATCCTAGAATCTATGATAATGCCCACTAGCACATTTGTATGCGCTTTAAAGCTTTAAGACATGCAGTGATCTCCAGAGATCTCTCTCTGCAGGGCCTGTATGTGTGAATGCAAATTTAAGAGTGAAAGCCTCTGGAGTTACTGCAGACTTTTTTCATCTGGGCACTTCGTATAAATTTTGATAAATGTGATTGACAGTTTGTGTTTGAGGAAAAACAGACGAGCAGACACACACACTAGGGCTTAAGAATACTTAGTAGACAAAATTTAACACTATGTTATTGCAGAACCAAGCCAACTCCTAGAATAGTCTGAGTAATATCAATTGCAGGATCTTACGAAGTTGGTTTAACATTGTGATGGCTGTTCCTCACAGGGCCTTTCTTTAACCCAACCCTACATGGCAAATAACACATCAAGTTAGATCTCCTATATTATTATGAGAAGTGTAAAAAACATTTTGGTTCATTTTGAAACTGTAAACAAAGTAAAAATGCTGGGCTGTAAGAGTTTATATAATATTGGGAAACACTAAAGTAAGTTGTGAGAATAAAAATTTCGTAGAAATAAAAAATCCTGTAGATGTGACAAAACCAGCCCAAATGTAAGGAGTTACTTTGTATATTTTGAAACCCCATAATTGCAATTGTCATGGTTTATACTAAGCTTAATTACAAACTACCTTTAAGTAATAGTGCCATTTATCAAGATTTTAGCCTGTTAAAGATGTAATTTTTCTAGTTGATGGAAAAAACTGTACTGTAATGATGTAATGATGACATCTTGTCCCCTGACTGTTCACAGGTCTCAACAACAACAGATGGCCTGGATGCTGACTTATGGAAAGATGGCCTTTTTAAATCTAAGGTGACCCGCTATCTCTGTTTCACCAGGGTCTTCTCTAAAGAAAATGTAAGTAATTTCACATCATCCGCCAGCTATGCGTGWGATACTACTTGAACATATATATATATAACATTTGAATTAACCATTTGGTGGAGAATTTGAATTCACTCACTATTCTATTCCAAAATCTTTCTTTCTTTTTATAACTTTTTATAACCTCTCTTTCATCAGTCAATTTCCCCCCTCTCCCTGCTTTCATCTACAGAGCCATTTAGGCAACGTTCTTGTGGACATGAAGCTTATAGATATAAAGGACACTCTGCCTGTGGGTTTCATCCCGATCCAGGAGACAGTTGACACTCGTAAGTTATCAAGTCAAGATAAAAGCATTGATAGCATCACTGTGATGTAAAATATGTCTGAAAATAATATTAATGACATGATACTTTAATCTGTCTAATAATTCAATAAAATTCTGTCTTGTCTGTCTGTATATATGTATGTGGCTCGCATATCTTGAGAACCTTACATCTTATTTTCTTCACAACTGGCATGTGCAATGTGTCAAACTTGGTGTGATTTGAACACAATATGTTCAATGTTAATAGAATTTAAATTAACAGGCGATCTACAGCAGTGACTGCTGCAACTCATTAGCAGTGGCAGCTTGGACTGATCAAAATACGTGACAACAGTGCATTCACAACAAGAGTCACTTTGACAACAGCAGCAACCACAACTGATCCGTTTTGTGTTCTGGGATCTGAGTCGAGATTCATTGAAATTTGAATAAACAGGTGAATACAGCTTTGTGCAGCAGCTGTGGCGCGGCTTCAAGATTCTGAGGACTGAGTCTCGCAGTTGGTCTGTTCTTGCCACAGCTGCAGGTCGCTTTTATAGCTCCAGAAAAGCTGCTTTCAGACATGTACTGTTCAGTGGCTTCATTTATAACTGTTGCATACGCACAAAACAGGATCTGAAACGTGCCTACGCCACTTCTCACGCAGACGATGGGATAAAAACAAACTGGACATGCTAACTCTGACCTATGCGTACGAACATGTAGTAGACAGGAAAATGACGATGCAGATGTGAACTGAAGCAGATAATTGATCCACTTCATCATTTATATTAAAACCAACAGCATTATTGCAGTGTATCATCCGTAGCAGCAGTGTATCAATGTATTTTCTTTATTAGTGACTAATGTGATTAATGCTGTGGCCACCAACAATCTTTCTCTCTTCACCTCCAGCTCACTAACGCACACCTAGATGTCAGTGTCATCACTTGATGCAATGACTTACTGTGGAGATCCATTTGTCAGCAGGATAATTTAATATTCATGAGGTGCTTTGCATTGACCATTTATGGCTGAACATGGGCATGTTTCCAGGTGCACTGTGATTTATAAAGTAAACATTGTGTTCAGGTGTGCATGTGCCTTTCCTGACCCTGAAGCAGTGGTGGTTATAATTATGCAGCGGTGGGACATTGCTAAAACAACAAACATTGCAGAAAACTCGATTATGTTCTGTCGCTGCATCGATGCAGAGTCGCCTACGTCCGCATAACTGTGCATCGAAAAATCAATGCATTTCCACACCTCTTAGAAAGACGACGAGATTCGAGAGCTTTTGGTTAGTAGGGCCAATGCTGTCGTTAATGTGCTTTAATCAAAAACACATGATCTTGGCAGCTGAATGAATAAATTACATCCTGAATGCAGCATCACTTCTTACCTGAATGCTTTGGAGACTTCTGTGTTGTTTAGACTGAAGAAACTGTTCTACGTTCTTCATATGTGAAAAAAACATAAGAATGTGTGGACATTTTCATGTCTGAAAATTACTAAATAAAGCTGCAACAGGCAATACCACAGGGCAAGCAAATAGCCCAATCCAAAGAGACATGTTTAGAACAGGCACTTCACTCGTGTGTAGTAAATGAGCTGGTTGAAGTGACACTGAGTCTTCCTGTCTTTTGTATGTCCCTTAGAGGAACAGGCTTTCAGGAAGAGGCGTCTCTGCATCAAGTTTATTCCGCGGGACTCCACAGAGGCAGCCATTTGTGACATTCGCATCCTGGGACGCTCCAAGCAGGCCCCCCCTCAGTACACCTTTATAGGGTGAGTAGTTTGGGATACATTTAAATTTTGGTTATGTATAGACATTGCAAATAATTTATCATGGATTTATAGCTTTCTCTACAAAACTAATCACATGGATCACTAAGTTAAAGCACAACACTTATATGAGTTATTCTTCAGGTGTCCAGTAACTGAGGCATGTTTCAAATAGGGCGAGGAGAAGCTGGAGTATTTTTGATATTTCAGAATATGTTGTGTTCAGTCCAGACACAGGCAACAGAGTCAGTAGATACTGTATGTGTACAGTTGTGAGTCAAACATACTCAATTTGCAGAACAACACTGGACTCAATTCAATTCAATTAAATTTGTACTAGGGATGCATGATATTAATTGGTCTGATATTTTATCGGCTTGATAATGGGAATTTTATATTATACATATATATTTATATATACTGGTTGCACTCATGACGTCATACATCAGTGCCTGTCCATACCAGCATGTGTTTACATGGGAACTGAAAACTCACTTTTTTGTTTTTTTGTTTGTGTCACACTTTCTGAGAGAGACTGTAGGATGGCAGTTTGCAGCAAAAAATTGTTAATTCATGATGATTCCAGCACCCGCTGCACCCTTGATTGAATGTGTCTGTCTCAGTCCGATATGTTGAAATACAAAAATACATATTAAAATGATCTGGCAGTAATTTTGAGCCATGGTTCGATCCAGCTGACAGCCAGCGTCAGACGATGGCATTGATGGATTGTACTTTATCAAAAGACTAGGGATGTCATGAGAACCAATACTTTGGTACCAATTCGTACAGGAAGATTCAACTGTTGAATCTCCTCACACCACGATCGGTTGAGGAAGATGGCTGGTTCTGCCTGAGATTTCTCCCATTTTATGATTTTTTTTCAGTTATTTTCAGTTCTTTCTGCTTGATAATGTGAATTTACTTGTTTGACAGAGAGCTCAACAACATGGGAATTTGGTATCGCATGGGGAACGTACCTCGGACCCAGGATTCTACGCATACACCAACAACCAACAATATCCAGAATGTGAATTCCTCCTCCAGCTCAGCCCCAGTCCCAGCAGCTCCTATGCCTAAGTATGTTTACACTTATTCTGTTTGTATGTGTGTACTTACATTTGTCTGATTAATGTAACAAGCTGATAAATATACATGCATTTACACTATCGGCTGGGACATCTATGTTTAGATCACAGTGAAGACTGAGGAGGAATGGTCCATTTACTTACAGAAAGAAACAAATGAAGTTGTCTGCTGTGAAGTTCAGTTTCTAGTACATTATGCATTTTATTCAAAGTGATTTAAATGTCTTTGAAACGATTCTTCATTCATATCTTGTCAAAAAAACAAACCTTTTACAAACATGCCATTTAAATAATGTAAAACAAGTATGGGATTGGACTTGGTATTGACAGATATCTATGGGTTTCCAATTTTAGTCGATCCACAACTTCATAGGGGTTTTTTGAGGTTTAAGACCAGGAAGAAAAATGTAGCCAGATGAGACAAGACTGTATTTTAGTACCTGACTAACCCTAATCCTTCCAGTGTGGTGTATGGTCTAATGATATTGACTTGATTAGGAATTAGGCATTAGCAATTTGATTCGACACAGGAAAGTATCTAACAAGAAGGCATCTTTTATAACAATATACATTGCTCAAAAACATTAAGGTAACACTTAATAGTCACAGTATAACACCAAGTCAGTTAAACTTCAGGGATATCAATCTGTCCATTTAGGAAGCTCAGGTGATAATGAATCAGTTTCTTTGGTAAGATTTGCAAATGAATGTGACAACAGGTGCAATGGAGAAGCAAAGTCAGGACAAACCCCCAAAAAGGAAATGATTTTGCATGTGCTGGCCACAGACAGCTTCTCTCTCTCCTCATCCTTCCTGACTGATTCTTCTCTAGTTTTGTGTTCTGCTATTGTCCTTGTCACTACTGGTAGCATGAGGCAGTATCTGCAGCACAATCAGGTTGTACAGGTAGTCCATCTCCTGAAGGTGGTATGGACAATACCAGGAGACTGGCTGTTACACAATGGGTGCTGGACAGGGCTGTAAAAGGTCAACAACCCAGCAGCAGGACCGCTATCTGCTCCTTAGTGTGAGTAGGAACACGAGAAGCACAACCAGAGCTCTACAAAATGACCTCCAGCAGGCTACAGATGTGCATGTTTCTAATCAAACTGTCAGAAACAGACTTAGCATGAGGGCCCGATGTCCTCTAGTGGGACCTGTGCTCACAGCCCAGCACCATGCAGCTCGAATGGCATTCACCAGAGAACACTGGTATTGGCAGGTCTGCCACTGGTGCCCCATTCTCTTCATAGATGAGAGCTGGTTCACACTGAGCACATGTGACAGGCGTGAAATAGTCTGGAGACGCTGTGGTGAACGTTATGCTGCATTTAACATCATCCAGCACTGGTTTGGCAGTGGGTCAGGGATGGTCTGGGGACACACAGACCTCCATGTCATAGCCAAAGGCACCTTGACTGCTGTACCAGGATGAAATCCTCAGAGCCATTGTGTGTAGGCAGTTACTGGATGACGATGGCATTGATGCCATTAACCTGGCGTCCTGTTCCCCTGACCTTTAACCAATTGAACACCTATTGGATGTTATTTATCAATGCATCCGACGCCACCAATACTGCCGCAGACTGTCCAGGAGTTTGCTGATACCCTGATCCAGGTAGGGAGGAAATCCCCCAAGAAACCATCCGCTGACTCATCAGGAGCACGTCCAGACGTTGTCAGGCGTGCATACAGGAATGCAATACACACTACTGAGTCACATTATGAGTTGCCATGATGAAAATCAAACAAGTTAAATCAGTCTTTGTGATTTCAATTTTTTACATTGATTTTTGGTGTGATTTTGAATCCAGTCCTCAATGGGTTGATGATTTTGGTTTCCATTGACCATTGTATTTTGATCTCAACAAATTATACAGTAAATATTTTCAACTTGAATAATTTGCTCATCACGATCTAATGTGTGCTTTAAGTGTTCCCTTAATTTTTTTGAGCAGTGTATGTTAATGTTTTTCTTGAACGTGATAATCACGTGCTTAAGATCAGCTTGATATAAACATTCACTTCAACTCAAAGATTAACTGATTAGAAGGTAAAAATGTAATGTGACCTTATGTTGTGAATGTGATATATCAGCAATGTATGTCGGGATTTTTCATTACATTTGGCACAAACATTCACTTGGTCTCAAGGATGACCTGATTCGAATTTTGTGGTCATTGTTTAAGGTCACTGCCTCTTCAAAAAGCCAATTTTTGCCCTATGAATGCAGTATCTCCAGAACTTCTCTAGGGAAACTTTTCAATTGGCAGAAACATTCACTTGGTCTTGGATTTGATTTTGGTCGGCACAAGTCAAGGTCACAAAGATGAACTGATTCGATTTTGGTGCCTGAAGATCAAGGATCAAGCACACAGTGACCTCGCACCCCTGTGGATGTGTTCTATGAGGACTGCCCTTAGGGAATTTCATTACATCTGGTCAAATTCTGATTCAAAAATGATTCAATTTTGGATAAAGGTTACTGTGACCTCTCAAACACATGTATTGCCTTGTGAATGGGATATCTCAGGAACAAAGTAATGGAATTCTTTCAAATTTGGCACACATGTTCACTTGGACTCACAAATTAACTGATTAGATATATGTGATCAAAGGTCCTAGGGCCAGGTCACAGTGGCCTCACAAATCATTTCTTTTGGCCTCTTGAATTTCAGGGAATTTCCCTTCAGGGAATCTCTTAAACCTTTGATCAATTGTCACTTGGACTCAACTCAACACTGAACTAACCAGATGTTTAATACTCTTGTGTTTATTTTGTCCCAAGGCATATTTCCATGACCCTACCGGCTAGCTTCAGAGGGAAAAACACGACCAGACCAGATTATGAGCACCAGAACTCTAGCCTGTATGCTATCTCAGGTCAGCAAGAATAACTTCTGTCTTCTTCTCAACATTCTCTTCCCAAAAGTTTTAATCTTCCAACCAGTAGGGATGTGCGATATTTATCGTCTATGCTCACGTTATCGAATATTGGGTAGAGCCACACGGAGCAGACGGCCCTCTCCACCAGCTAAATTGTATGAATTGTTGTTTTCTTTACCATAGAATGGGCCCTTTATATTTCACAACTTTATATTTACATGGAGGGGGTCCTCTTTGTGAAGGCCTCCATGTTTTTCACCTCAGGTTCTTTTTCATGTTTGGAAGGGGAGGGGTGTGTTCAGCTGGAACATGCAACTTCAACACTAGAGATCACAAAATTCTACACACTGTACCTTTAATAGATGAATTTATGTTTTTGCAGTTATTTCTGTGGTTTTGCTGATGAAGATACATTTATGTAACACTTCCTATTTTAACTGTCTTTTTTTAGCAATGGATGGAGTGCCTTTCATGATATCTGAGAAGTTTGCCTGTGCCTCGTCTGATGTAAGTTACCTTTAACTTATCTGAGTTGAGTCTTAGGTTTAACACTTCTGCACTGGTGAATGTTTGATGTAACAGAGGAATAAGCGGAAAGGGAATAATTAGAACTTTGAAGTCAGTGATTGAACCTACTTATAACTCATCAACCAGTTCTGTTTATGTCCAGCTGCAGCAGGTGGATCTGATGAACATCACGATTAAGTCCCTGACTGAGATCGAGAAAGAGGTGAGTAGACAGATGTAGTCAGGTACAGGTTACAGTTCTCATAATATTTAAGCAGAATTCAAGCTTGTCAATCATTTCCATTGGTCATGATAACCCTGTTGTCACCAATAGAGCTCCTGAGATGTGGGAATATGTCAAGTACACGAGCAGTCAACAGGACAATCAGATCAGAAATGTACCCAGGACTTAATTTTAGTATTTCTATAAAGACACAAGTTGTAATAGACAGGAATTGTCCCCTAACTTGTATAAGAGATATTTTTGTATATGAAAATAAGATGCTCCACTGGTTTGTGTTGAAGAATGTGGTTCCACTATGTGTCCACCAGAGGTCAGTGGGGTTTCTAGTTTGATCCACTGTATTTTTGTGAATCATAGGAGATACAGGTTCTTGTCAGGACACGTGCTGCAGCATTTTGGGCAAGCTAATGGGTACAATAATCAAGTCTGGATGTAACAAATGCGTCGACTAGTTTTTCTGCATTTTCGAGACAGGACATGTCTGATTTTAAGTTACGTAAGTGAAAGAAGGCGGTCCTAGAAATTAGTTTTAAGTGAAAATCAAAGGACAAATCAGGATCAAAGATGACTCCCAAATTCCTGACTGTTTCATTGGAAGCAAGGGCAATGTCATCTAGTGCAGCTATATCATTAGAGGTTCTAATACTCTGCCCTAAATACCTTAGAGATACATTTTCTGTTTTATCTGAATTTAATAAGAGAAAATTGCGGGTTATCCAGGTTTTAGTATAACTGGGTGTCATTCGCATAGCAGTGGAAATTTACAGTGTGTTCTGATAATAATGTTTCCTAGTGGAAGAATATGTAATGAGAATAAAATTGGGCAGAGCACAGAACCCTGTGGAACACCGTGGTTAACTTTGGTGCACACAGATGACTCATCATTCATTTGCACCAATTGGAATCGATCTGAAAAATAGGATTTAAACCAGTTTATGGCAGTTCCTTTAAGGCCAATTAACTGTTCTAGTCTCTGTAATAAAATCTGATGATCAATAGTGTTGAATGCTGCACTGACATCTAACAGGACAAGCACTGACACAAACCCTTGATCTGAGGCTATTAGAAGGTCATGAGTGACCTTTGCCAAGGCTGTCTTTGTGCTATGATGATCAGAGAGAAGCTGTCTAAGTAGCTGTCACTGCAGTATTTATATATTTAGAGCAATCAGTCTGATTCCTTCAAACACCAGTGGATCTTAACCTCCACTCTGGGATATTATTTGGAAATAGAAGTTTGAAAGTAAATCGTTTTTCTATATTTTTGTGAGTGATCTCCAGTGAGCTCTGTGCACCTGATGGCACAGTCACGTTCACTGAAGCGATTTTACTGACACTCGTCCTTAATGATACACAAACTGTGTTAGAAGATATTATTAAAAAACATGAATGACTCTGCAACTCTGCTGTTTATCTGAACGTAATTCGCTGTTAGTTTTTATATCTTTTTCAATTGAAGGTTCTTATGGAACAGTTATGTTGCGCGAGCAGAAGTAAAGCTGTTGGTTTTAATGTAAATGATGAAGTGGATCAATAATCCGCTTCAGTTCACCACCTCACATCTGCATTGCCACTTTTCCGTCTCCAAAATGTTTGTACGCGTGAGTCAGAGTTTGCATGGAAATGCTGACATTTTGCCGTCATGTTTAAAAAAAATAAAAATAAAAAAAAAATCCAACATTTGCGTGAGAAGTGGAGTACGCATGTTTCAGGCCCTGTTTTGTGCGTATGCAACAGTTATAAATAAGGCCCCAGATTATTTGATGAACAATCCAGATTAGAAAATAATGTACATCTCTCCCTCTGTCAGTATGATTACAGTTTCCGCACAGAGCACAGCGCAGCAGCTCGCCTCCCTCCAAGTCCAACAAGGACCTCTCTGAGCTCTGAGGCCTGAGACCCCATTAACACTCTCCCCTCCTGACAACAGCGAGAGACCTGTACGCAACTATTGACCTAGCTACAGGAAACAGTGACATCCCACCTCTCCAAAACGACTGTACTGAGAAGAAAACAGAAAGAAGAACAAAAAGACTTCTGGGACTAGTTGTGCTTTGAAATGAAAAGGAAACTGAAAACTCTGAGAGACGAGGAGAGGGGCTCTGGAGGTGTGGCTGAGACAACTATGTACAACATTGATGAGATGGATTTTAAAATGGCCCATTGGGTGTTTTGAAGAAGGATTTTGAAATTGAGAATCTTACATGATTTTAAAACACATTTTTCTCGAAAGAATGGAGAATTGTTGGTCCCATATACAAATAACCACAGCCCTTGAAGTACAAGGATACTTTGCCACAATGGATGGCACCTGTCTGGCCTTTGCTGCCCAAAATGGACTGATTCTCATCTGTTGGAAATATAAAAGGAATCTTTGTGGGATTTTTTTCATGCTTGTACTGATCTTCTTTGTAGGTAATGATCTCCTTGTTCTTTAAATGTTTCTGTGATATACTTGTGTAACTGTGAGTGCACTTTGTGTTTGGAAATTTCAGTATGCTTCCTGTTTCCACAGATAATCTGTAAACCACTCCTTTTCAGTCTCTACATGAGCCGCCAACGTTGGCTGGATACAGAACCACTGTATGTGTTTAAAAGTTAGAAACCAGGACACAGGTTACACTGCACTGTTTGTAGGATTCTGTGAACCATATTTAAATGTATTGTCTACTGTTGTTGCTGAAAATGTTTCCATGTCAGTGATGATTCAATACCTAAGATTTTTGCAGGTGGCAAAACAATACTTTTTTCCCAATACAAAGTGATTGTTTTAACATTTGAACATCTAAAAACACTGTTTTAGCTCTAACACTCTCCTTAAAATGTTCACACTATGTCCTTCCCACAGTCATCCATGTACAATTTGTACACCAGCAGAGGAGCTGTGACCCAGCTACAGTTGGTCACTCTCTTAATCTCTCCTTTCAAATGACAACTAGTAATAAGAGTGCCAGATGTAATTAAGTGGGGTTCTTGATGTTTATGATGTTTCACTAGCTTATTCAACTATAAGTCCCTCATGAGAGGTTCATGTCATCGACCTCTCTTAGAAAGAGAAATGTGTTCCGAGGGTTTACAGTCTATATTGAGTGTCTACTGCAGATCTTGATATCAGAAGTAGAAACCGTCATGTTCAAATCAGTGTTGAATGATTGAATGATTTGCGGACATACAAAAATCCCACTATGATCATCTTCGATGTATTTACACAGCGCTTTACTTGTCTTGATGACCACTCAAAGTGCTTACAGTTTTGCCGTCCACCCATTCGCACAAGCATTCATACAGTGCTTCTATGTGCAGCACCTTCTCTATCACACATCATTCATACACTGCGGGCACAGCCATCAGGGGCACTTTGGGGTTCAGTGTCTTGCCCACGGACACTTTGACATGTGGAACAGGGAAGGAGGGGATGGAACGGTCCACCTTCTGGTCAGAGAACGATCCTTCACAGCTGAGAATAAGATTTTTTTTTTAATTGCCATCCTTCTCTTTACCATACTTGCTCACGTTTGGTTCTTGACAGCCACTGATGGTCTGTGCCTTGGACGCAATAAAGTCAGTAACAAAGTATTGAGGTCCGAAACTTCTGTTAACCATGTAAAAACATTCCTGCCCATTTTGAGTTACTTTTCCAAGGATAGTGTTAAAGACAAGATTTTGCAGTGTGGATTTTAAAACTGGTAGTTGAATCATCACATAAGTGATCCAGCAAAAGTGCTGTTATTCAATTGAACTTGTTAGATGTGAAAAATGTGGTAGATCTTTGATTCAGTTTGTTCAAACCTTTTTAAACTTCATTGTGATCTGAATGAGCAAAAATTATTTTAGAAATGTAAATTATTTTAACCCATTTGACATGTGAAGACCACTATCCACTCAGGACCACCAGAATTCATTTCAAACGAGAATGGCTCTGAGTGAACACTGAACCAGACTTCATTCTCACATGTTCACAGTTGTGTTATCCCACAACACAAGCACTGTATAATAATATTGGTGGATCACAAGCTTCATTTAGAAGTCTCTTAAACCTGCAGGTTTTTTTTTATAAGTTCATCATTTTAGTAAAAGCAGTCTATTTTCATATCTGTCCTCACTGCTTCTCCTGGTGCTCTGGTGGCTGAGAATATAGACTATTTCTATCAAGGAGTTGCACAATCCATTGTTTCACTTTTACCCCCCAGTTGTTTTAAATTGCTTTTAAGCTGAAGTCAGTGAATCTCAACATCACTTCAACACTCCAGATGTTTTGATGTAAAACCTGTCAGTTGCTGAATCATCTTCATTATTTGGCAGGCTGTTAATTTGTTCGAAAAACACATCAGTGATGAGCTAAAGCTGAATGTTACATATCAGCATTAAAAGTCCATCTTGAACTTAAAGGTCCAGTGTGTAAGATTTAGGCGAAAGGGATCTATTTACAGAAATTTAATGTAGAATAATCCTCATGATGTTTTCACTAGTT